ATACTAGTGTGTGTGTATATATATATATATATATATATATATATATATATAGTGTTGCATTTAAGTGAGAACGATAGGATAATTGGAAAGGGATAGAATTTAAAAAAAGTGTAATTACAGAAGGAATATTAAATTACCTTACTATGTTAAAAATCCCTTATTTTAAAAAATACAATGTTCGAAAACTCGAAGATTATATAAAACTACAAGATTTCTTAACGTATTTAAACAAGCTTATTACGTAAAGCTGATATTAAAAATTGTACAATTCTCTTTTAAAAAGATATACGACCTTGCAAGATATTCCAATTAAACGTAATACTAAAAAAAACTTACAACTAAAACTACATACGTGCATACATACTTTCAACAATTTTCATTCGATGGATTCAATTAAAATCCATCTCCTATATTTTCGACGTAACCTTAAAACAGTGTCGTTTTAACCCTCGCCCGTTTTACACTCTATGACAAGTAAACCAATATATTTTCGCGTGAAACGTGGCCGCGTTTAACGCGCGGAACGAGGTGGTTACGAGGAACGTATTCATCGCGTTGTCCCCCGTATTTCTGAAACAGAAGCAAAAGAAGCAACGAAGGAGAGAAGGGACATCACCCACCTGGGGGACGATATATCACGAGAAACGAGCGAGGATCGACTTCTTATTGGGTTGGCAACCGGCACCGTCAGGCTGGAGCAACATGACTAATTATTGCTGTCCCGCTTCGGTGCCGTCTAGTTTACCTTTGCACGCTTTCCCGCCTGTCATTTCTCACGCGTCGACGCGACCATCGGTCTGGTCTCGGCGTACGATTCACGAAGCCTTTTGCGAATACGGGAACCAATGTGTAGAGAGTCGACGGACCAATGTCTTTACGCTGCCTGACACGCCAGATGGAGAAAGGAACGATAATTGTTTCTATGCGGGTATTGAGAGATTTCTATGAACAGTGCGTTAACACCTTTGAGTAATTAAGTACTGTCTTTTTGAAGAGTTCATTGATATATGTTATAAGCTACGTGGAGGATGAAACGAGTTTATCAAAGGTTAATTGTTCGATTATCGTATAAAATTAAATATACAGTTAAAAAAAAGTTTTTCGCAAAATGCAATTATTGATCATTCTTGGAACAGTGATCAATCAAGTATATAGCATTTTTCCCTTTGAAAAATTTCGAATATTTTCGCAAATATGAATGAGAAAAATTCGTGTCGAAATATTTTGAAGAAAATTTGTCAATATCGAACATTCCTACAACACCAAATTTTGAATAAATATTCGATAAAAAAAAACTTTATCCAAAACACAGAATAAAAGATAGAAAAAGGAATTCTATTAATAATCTCTCTATTTAAAGGAAATCACGTTCAATAACTGCGTAAAACACTGCGTGCATTCGATACTCCACAGTTGGACAATCGACCCATTTGCCATCAAAGGGAATGTCAGAAGAGTGCTTTTATTTATATGTATACTAGGGTGCCGATAATCGAGCCTTAATTAGCGCGGCCAAATCAACCGGCAGGGGAATAAGGGGGGAAAAAAAGATTTCTTTTGTCGTCACCTCGTGTTTTCATTTCAGTTGTTTTTCGGTCTAACGATTTTCTCCATTTTTCTCGATCGTCCGTTTACACGGCCCGTTTCACGACCGACGATACAAAAATACCAGGACGCGGGGTAAAGGTACTACCAACCGAGCGTAGTTACGTATAGACGTATAAAGAAGCTGTTTTCGCATCGTTAATACTGTCTCTCTTCTTTTTCTCTGGTAATCAGTGACCGACCAGTCTCGTCAACTTTGTTTGCCGATGACATCTGTGCGCTCTCGTAATTGCGTACCTGCTATTCATACGCGATGAGACTACGTCTCGAATAAGGACTTCTATCAAGGACGCGTGTACGTCGTCTATGCGCGTCGAACCTACGTTTATGCAAATAGAACTGGAACGGACCACGCGTCACGTAACTATTCCGACCGCGAGAAACGCAATTCTTTCGAGATTGATTGCCGGGACTGTTACCGTTTTTGCATCGTGTTGTCACAGAGATTTAATTGAAACGTACGACGAATTGGAGTTGGAGATGTGGAGAGATGTATAGTAACAAAAAAATAAATTTGCATCGATTCGAAAATATTGATTTCAATGAAAATTTGTGTGTGTATATATATGTATAGGAAAAATTTGGAAATGAATGAATGAAAAAATATCTTTGAAAGAGTGGAATAAATTCTGATTTTGGGGATATATTTTATAATAATATAATAGGATAGATAATAGAGCACTAAAACAAATAAAGATCCAATTCTGTATTATTATAATATTGAATTTGATTTATTTTATCAGTTATTAAACGTTTGATAGGATTCTAATCTAATATATGATAAATCTTTCTTAAATGAATGATTATTTTAAATTTGGAGAATATTATATAGAAATTTTAATATTAATCCTTTAGGTTCAATTTAATTGAATTTTGTATCTTTTATTTTCAAAAATAATCCAATGAATATACATAAATATTTTAAAAACAATCAAAAATTATTTAATTAGAAAAGAAAATATTTTAGAAACAATCATTTTTCATTTCATTATTTTATTGTACTATATATATTTATTTATAATATAATATGCAAATATATTATATTATATATATTATATATATAATAAAATAATGAAATGAAAAAATTATTGTTTTTAAATTATATATATATTCATTGAATTATTTTTGAAAACATAAAATAAGAAATTAAAGATACAAAATTCAATTATATCTAAATTGGACCTAAATGGGTTATTATTAGGATTTCTCTTTTTATAAATTTATTCTCTAAATTTAAAATAATCATCCATATAAAAGAGATTTATTATTACAATTCTATCAAACTGTTTAATAATTGATAAAATATATAAATATATAAGTTTATAATATATAATATATATAATATATTATATAAATAACATAAATATTATATATATGTATATATATGTATAATAAAATAACGAAATCAATTATATATCAATTATTAGTTTTATTATTCTTATTTTTATGTTCAATATGATTAAATATTTCATTAAAAATCCATATACATACATATATGAATTTCATAGTTGCGAAAACGTTAAATAAATTTCCTGTACATTTATCTAAAAGGTAATTCAAATATACGAAGCACTACAAAAATACCTGGTCTCTAAATACAACTAGCGATAAAACGTCTGGTTCGCGATGTGTTAACACATTGTTGACCGGTCGCGAGCGTACTCGTATTTTCATGCATAAACGTTGTTGACCGGTCATGAGTATACTCACGTTTGCATATGCATCAACTTGTGCAATTATTAAAGTAAAAAATTTTATATATTATTGAAATGTTTATTACATTGGATTGTTTGTTTAATTTTTGTTATTTCTTTTATTTTACTGACATTTTAATTACCATTCTAGTATAGTCTGCTATATTAAATTTTCTAAATCTTGTTGTAAATTTTTTTTCTCGATTAATGCTGAAAAAATAATTTGCATAAAATATAACAAATATAAATTAATTATCGAAAATAAATAAGTAAATTTTTTCAAATTTGAATTTTTTCAATTTAATTATAGATGGCAGTTTGCTGTGATGATTTTGATGGCAGTTTCTACATACACGGTAAATATATCTATCAATAACATTGTTAACAGAGTTCTTCGAAATCTGTATACATTCCTATTTTGAAAAAATCCTCTAGAAAATTCAATATCATTATATTTATATATATTACGTTACGATTACGATTTATCTCTATCTATGTCGAAGAAATAGACAGCTGCATAAAAATCTTATCCACGAGCAAAAACATGCCAAATAAGATAATGGTCGTAAATCACAAGCAATCACTTATCTATTAATTCAAAAATGACTCACCATGTATCCAATTCCGATTTTAGAAAGCAAGATCTTGCAGATAAGAGACATTCCGATATCGTCGGTTTACTTATTGTACACATAATTGCTACAAATATGTTATATCCGTGCCTCCATGAAATGCTTCGTGAAAAATACGTCGAAAAAATATAGCTATTTCGGAAATTTCCACGTATACATTGGCGATTGCCAAGTGTTTCGAATGGAGCAAAGAAACAACGATTCGGAGTGAAACACTCTCGACTGTTCGAAACAATAGACAGACAGACAGAATGTTTCCGATATTTCTCACTGAAACAAAAATCACAGAATCACGTGACTACACAATGCGAAGATCGAACACATTCCACGAAGATTTTCTTTAGTCTTCGACAGAAATATCAAATACTTTCACTTCTTTTCAAACCGACAATCGTTTCTCCTTTCACAATATCACCTTCCTACGTTTCCTGCTTCACTTTACACTTTTCGAGTACTAATCTATCGAAAATCGATGTATCGATTTTATCGTATTTTTATAAATTAATTTTTTCGATAGAAATTAAATTTTCTAAATAAAAATACAAATCTGTCTAACAAATTGGCAATATGATTGATACGCCATAATAATTATAACTAACAAATTAATTATTAAAATATTTTCCCTAGTACAATCGATCTATATTCGAGTAATCGAGTAACGCACTCCAACCGTTTCCGCGAAAGTAGCGAACTCTACATCGATTCTACTTTCATTCGAAACAATAGTACATAAACGAGAATCGTCCATGTTTGTTAGCGTCGTCGCGACAACAGACTTGTGTGTTTCGAAAAAGGCGAACGAAGCCAACTGTGCGGTCCGTTTACCGAGAGCTCCGTATTCCCCAGTGTATACTAAAACCATCGATCGCGTTTTGCATGAATGATTTCGCGGAGGGACACGAGAAAAGAGGGCCGAGATGGTCGTCTGCCGGAAAAGAACGATGGAGGAGAAATTTCGGGAAGGCATCGGTGAAATAGAAAGGGGAATTGGAAGTAGTAAAGTCTGTGTCGTTCGGCATTCAGAATGCAGAAAAGGAGCGAGGAGAAAGAGGAGAGTAGTGTAGGGTGGCTCGGCAGTTTGCGTGCATGTGTTTCTCGTTCGTCCCTATGCACAAGGAGAGAAGAAGAGTCCAGAGAACGCGAGTCGACCATAGAGGAAAAGGAAGAATTATCGAAGGTAAGAGAGAGAGAGAGACGGAAGCGAGAGGCCGCAAAATATATGCTGCATGCTCGTGGATGCTCGTTTGCAGCGTGCCCGTGGTCGGACAGAGATAATCGTGCCTACACCGGCTACGGATAGAGTGAAATGGAAGAAAAGGAGAACGTGAAACGGTTCGCCGAGGAGGCTGGTCAATGGTAGGCCGGCTATCGGAACACCCTTCTCGAAAACAAAGCCGGATCTCACCTTGATTTATCGCTGAGTGCTGCCGCGGTGCTGTGTGTTCTGCTCCAGACCAGGTTGCAGCCGGGGTGAATTCCCCGGCGAAAATTAATCCATTATCGGGTAAACGAAGACCGGGATAACTGCGATTACGGAGTTCAGAAATCACCACTCTTCTCTACACGAAACCTCGACGCTTCTTCTTCCGTGTATTGTTTTATATTTTTTTTCTGCCTAGTTGCCCGCCACCAGACGGCTAACCTCGGTCCGTTGGAGTTTTGTGTACACACCATATACACAACCCGATATCCGATACACTAAATCAGCTACGTAAACGTATGCACGGTAACGCGTGTCAACGCGAAGACGACGAGCAGTCACGAAGCTTGCACACGGTAGCAGATCATACAGTGCGCGTCTTCCTTACTACGTTCAAGTCATTCCCAAGTCAACGACTCACAAAGATACCGGAGACACACGTTTCCTCCAAATATTTTCCTTCGTGCGCACGCCCTCGTTCGACAAGCACGACGATGATACGATCGAGAATGCGACGCGGCATAAACGATACACGTGCGAGTCGTCGTATCGAGAGACGAACTACCCCTAACATCGGCCGAGAACGTACTGACATGAAAGCAACCGAGGAAACACGAAAGCGAAGCTCCGACTGAATCGTCGACGCGAGTGGGGGAAACCTTTCGGTCGACTTCGGGATACTTCGGCGCGTCTTCCCCCTCTACCATCCAATGGATACTTTACACACAAGCGTAGGATTCTCCCGTTCTCTACGTATACGCTAAAAGTCCCGATGTGTATTCGGATTCTGTTCTTCTCCCTTTCTTTTTTTACCTCATTTCCACTCTCTTCTTCTCTCTTTCATCTTCTCCCAATAGATACTCCCTCTCTACCACTGTTCGCGCGAGCCTCGTACATGCACACCTGTTTACGCATACGTGTGTGCACGCGACGCGTACCTTATACCCTCTTCGTGGCAGTCTCCACACGCGCGATGACGTCACGCTGGGCGCCGTGGCGTGGATAACGAGATGGCCCGAGTCTTCCTCGGGACCCTCGATCGCTAATTATCGTCCTAGAGGTTTCGCCTCGTTCCGCGACCGGTTTGCTCCTTTTTCCTCTTCCTTCCCCGGCCTGCTGCCCACCAGACGGAGAAATCGTGTGCGCGGTTCAAGAAGAGAAGGCACCCGGCAGCCACCCTCTTCCCGGCAACGGCCGACGATTTTCGTTTCGCCGCTCGTTTCCCGGTGGCATTAATGATGTCTCGTGTAGGTACAGTCACGACCGGTTCCTCGAGAGACCTACCTCCTATCAAGATCAAGTATCTTCGACTAGCTTCGACTTGGAGAGGACACGCCGGGGCGGCCGAACAATTCCCATCTAAGGTTTCACGCGGTGTGTAAGACACGTCGTCCCGGACCAACACGCGATCCCTTCGTCGAGTCTTGGTCGAGCAAAGCGAAAGTTGAATCGGTGTTCGAAAGGTGGCGTTTTAGAGGTTGGGGACGAATATTCCGTGAGCGTGGACCGTGTGAGTGCAAAAATGAGCATCGCGTCCAACGTATAAATAACGAAACGCATAGCCTCGTTGTAGGAGGCTGCGACGAGGGTTTGTGCAATAAATAACGGCCTAGCGGAGCACACCTGCAGCGACAAGGCGTGTCCGATGGACGATGAAGTTTAACGTCCCCCCCCTCGTTTATTTCTCTGCCCAAAGCTATTGCAAGACGCGACACCAATAAAATGCTAATTCGCCCTTCCTCGTTACGAAAACGCGCCCTCTGTCTTGTTTTTTAGCGCGATCCCTGGAACGAGGTGGCTATATACGCTACTATCTATTATCATTCATATCGCGTATTATCATGCATTATCGTTCATACCGTGTTTACTGATTGCTATATTATAATATCGGAGTTAAATAAAGCGTGTTTCATATCCTGCGTGTTCATTCGCTGGTTATATTTTTTTATTTAAAATTATTTTATACGTAAAAATTATAATTACTAAATATATTTTATACACTAAATGTAATAGGAGCGAGAAGATATTTGCTTGTAAGTAATTTTACCGACATTTTGAATGTCGTAATTTTTTTTATCGAGATCGTAATTGAAATTAATTCTCTTTTAGAATTTTAATTTTTTTTAAACTCATCAATCGTTTGTTACAGTTTAGTAGACGCAGTTTAGTAGGTGAGTCTCTAAAAGATTCTTTGAAATGCAGTATATTTAACAAAGGTAACGTACAATCTTGAACGTATAATTTCTTATTATTATCTAATGGATGCAATATACATTCTCCTCGATTCATTTGAATAATCTAAATACTTGGCAACCTACGATCTCAACATCTGTTTCTAGCGTAACTAATCTCTCAATCCACCAAAACCCACATATCTTTCAATCGTTCAATAATAAAACGAGTTCTTTAAATCTAAACCAATTCCACAAAACGATTAATTTTTCTATTTTGAATTAAAATCAAATTCTTCACTCCTCCTTCCTATTTCGATTCGTGTAATATTTATTTCAATCAACAATATTATAATTAATAACACAGGAAGAGGAAGCGTTTGAAAATCGTTTTATTCAATAAATCTTACGATCTTAGGAAACAGACTTCTGGCAAATGTTCCCTCTTGAAAACGTGTCCTCGGCGTCTCCTGAGCGCGGAAGGGAAGCTCTGCAGCCCTCAGGCCACGGACACTTTCCCTTACCGCTCCCGGAATAGCTCGGGAAAGCGAAGGGTAGCTTTTTTTTCTTCCCGCAGCCAGGCAACGGGTGCATAGGAACGACGTAGGATTGGTTCTGATTATGATCTCGCGTCACCCCAACGTAAGGAGCGCGACAATGACGATGACTGCAATTCCGCGTACGCGCAAGGTGGTCCATTATGATCTTCCAGCTGGATTGAGCGACAAAATAGTGGAGATGAGGAGTTGGAGGAATCGTTCTAAGGAGCTCGTCGAAGAAATGTTTTAAGAAATCGTGCGCTTGTGTGCGGGAGAAGGTCTTGCTGGGTTTTTTATTCAACTCCTTCCTGCGTGCGTGTGTACGTGATACGTAAGTCGTTTTTCGAAAAAGTTTTTAAAAAAGGAATCTTTTAATTTTTCGTTTGCATACGCATCAAATCATGTTGCTTACATTTCAAGATATAACTCTTGCATTGTTCTAGAATTTTGAAAAATCTAAAAAAAAGTCTGTGATGTGAATATCATAAAATTATTTGTTAAAGAAATTAAAAAAAACTTTTGAACAAGGATAAGTAAATTATCCTATTCCAAGATAAAATTTAATTTGTGATAAAATGTTGACAATTTAGCAATAATATAAATTTCATTTTACGAGTAACTTTCTTTTAAATATATATATATATATATGTGTATGTGTGTTACGTTTATAGAAAGTTTCATTTTATACATATATTATTAGAAAGTTTTATTTTCTATATGTCTATAAAAAATAATTTATAGAAAGTTTCATTTTATTCTCAAACCATTTCGTTTAAAACGTGCAAGAATTTTATAAGCAATTTTCAATTATGACATGCCTTCACGAAGTACCGGACACATAGCACACGATCTGCGTTAAATGATTTGCATAATGCCCATGTTCTTTTTTTTTTTTTTTCTATCCAGTATCCTCGGTATCCTCGGTATAGCATAACGTATGTAATGTACGAAAGTAGAGTAATAAGTCCATAAAGCTTCACCAGCGTATACCAGCGCCACTTTACATTCACACGTAATAAAAACGTTGATCGTCGTTTGTTTCACGCATCGCGATCACGACGATCGCGGCGAGCTATCTCACATTATCCGGATACTCTCATAGCCTGTAATACCGTAATAGTGATTGTTCAAGTCGAGTCGGACGTGTCGATTATAGTTCCTCATAGTCAAGGACCGAAAGGAGCGAGAAAGAAAAAGGGGGTGACCGGGGTTCACTGCACTCCTTATTAAATCCATCAAGCCCCGCCGATTTTTCGAGGATCAGCACCGATTCCCGATTCGCCCACGGCTCGATACGATTTATCGAAGAAAGAAGGATATTAATTAACGAACCGACGCGGGAAAGATTCCCTCGGACAATGGGCGCCAAGTTTTTCCAACGTCGACGTCGAAAGTCTGACGAAGGTGGAGGAACGAAGAATTGTTCCGGCTGCAACAATACCCCCTGGCTCTAGAATTCGCCGTCGAACTTAAATTTTAAGAGTCACTGGCACGAATAGACTTGCCGACCTCCGCTAAAAAGCGTTTTTTCCACCGCTCGAATGGACCGCGGTCTGCCGCAGAAAACCCTTACTTTCCGCGCGACGAATAATTTAAGAGAGAAAAAGAGCGCAGCAACTCGGAGGGAAGAAAATGAAGAGAGATCGCGGAGAGAGAGACGGACGTAGGGAAAAGTTTTCGTTAAACTCCTTTTTCTTTTTCTTTTTCTTTTCCTTTTTTTTTTTTTTTTATTTATTATCATTATTCTTCCTCCTCTTTTCCTCCTCCTCCTCCTCCTCCGGTTTCACCCTATCCATCGATTTCGGGGCGATCGACGTCTACGGCGGATTTTCCTCGGCGAGTTTTTATTGTGGACGCGCTCCCGAGGATTCAATTTCATTCTTTCGTCCTCGTCGTCGAAACCCCGTCGGAGAAACCGGACCGAGGGTGAGCGTCAAAGCGAAAGTTTCCATAATAACGCCTTTACCACCGATACGACCTCCCTCTCATCGCCTACAGAAACCCAAGAACTTACGCAAATGAACGGTATTCGCGATGTCAACGAAACAAGAGACAAAGAAGTTTCCCAGCCCCAGGGAATCGTTCAGGCGATCTAGATCGCCTCTCATTATTTGTATGCGATGTGTATATCAATCGAATTTTAAAAACCATCTAATCGTGGCGATCGTGAAAATACGACTGATCAAAAGGATAAGAAACGTTCGTAACTTTTTCTTCTCTCCGCGATAGTGAACGACTCGTTGAGAGCAGATCTCTTCATTACCAACAGAAGTTCCTTCTGCTCGAGGAAACGAGCGGGAAAATATAAAGTGTTTGAACGCTTTTTGACGAAAATATCGAATGACTTCAATGTTATATTTTCATATAAGTTTGGAGTTAATTTAAAAAGAGACGGGTTATGCAATTATTATACGAACAAATTCCCATCGTAAGCGTTTGCCTATTTTCTACCAAGCTCGACAATTTGAAACGAAGAAGACGAAAGAATCTTTACAACACTGACCTGTCACTAGTATCGCTTCTAGTTCCCATGTATAAATTCAACTCTCCTATTGTATTGTACCGTTCTAAATAAATCCTCGTCAAACGTAGTATAGTCCTGCACTGTCGCTACCAAATGGAGCAACCACCTGACCGAGAGAGAGAGAGAGAGAGAAAGAGAGAGGGGAAGAAAACTCTGTTTTCCCGTGTTTTTCAACGCGTGACAGACCGAGGTCTATCGGGATGAAGTCTTCAGAAACGTACGCGACATCAGGTCGGAAATACAGGTTTTTGCTGCCCACGAGAGAGAAGTTGAGACTCCCCCTCTCCCTCTCTC